ACAATGAGAACCCCCTAGAGATAATGCAGGACATGGAACTCAAAAGAACAATTATAAACATGATAAAAGAATTCAGTAAATTTAAAGAACACACAAATCAAAGAGCTGAAGGAAGATAGGGATACTTCTGAATGAATTCAGAAAAGAGCTAGAAATACTGAAGACAACTCAGGCTGAAATGAAGAAGGAAGTGAAACATTCAGTAAGCTAATTAGAAACAACAGGAGAAAGCCTAACCAATAGGACGAATGAAATGGAAAACAGAATATCAAGACAAAGATAAAGTGGACAAACTAGACCACTCAAGCAAAGATTATGAAAAATTTAAGAAAGCACAAGAATGGAAAATGCAAAACATTGTGACACCATATAAAGACAAAACTTGTGAATCATAGGCATACAGGAAGGAGAAGAACCTCAAGATAATGAATGTCATGGACCAGATATTTAACACACATAGTGTTTAAAAACACATTTTAATGTTTTTAAAACACTAAATATACAGAACAAAGAGACAATACTGAAAGCTACAAAAGAAACAAGTCATATATAAAGGAAAACCCATCAGAATTATATCTGACTTTTCAGTGCAAGCTATGAAAGCCAGAAGAACCTGGGCCAAAGTATCCCCAGTTCTAAATGAACAGAGATACCAACCCAGATTACTTTACCCAGCCAAAATCTGTATTATAGTCAAAGGGGAAAGAAAAATTTTCCATGACATAAATAGGCTGAAGGAATTCATGTCCACAAAGCCAGCACTTCAGAGAGTTCTGGAAGCAATACAAAGAGCTGAAGAAAGGAATGATTATACCCAAGGGGTTGCAGAAAGAAATTCAATGGAGGTATAATTGTGGAAAAGTACAGTTATAACAAGAATGTAAACAGAAATAAAAATGACAGGATTCAATGCTCATCTTTCATTAATAACTTTAAGTATTAAAGGCTTAAACTTCTACAAAATTAGCCTTTCAGAGAGTTATTGAAACAAAACAAAGAGCTGAAGAAAGGAAAGACTATATCCAAAGCACAATAAAAAGAAACTTAATGAAAGTATAACTGTGGAAATGCATAGTTACACCAAGAATCCAAACAGAAATCAAAATGACAGGAATCAATACACAACTTTCATTAATAAATTTAAAAATCAATGGACAGAACTCCCCAGTCAAAATACACAGACTAGATGAATGGATTAAGAAATAAAACCCATCTTTTTGTTGTCTGGAAGAAACTCATCTCACTTTCAAGGACAGGCACTATCTTAAGGTGAAAGGATGGAAAAAAAAATATACCAAGCAAATGGTACTAAGAAAAAAGCAGGCATTGCAACTCTAATATATGAGAAAATAGACTTTAAAACTAATTAGAAGAGATAAAGAGGGCCACTTCATTCTGATCAAAGGAACAATGAACTCAGAAGATACTATAATCGTGAGCATATATTCACCAAACTCTGGTGGACCCAACTTCATAAAAACAATACTACAGGACTTTAAGACCCAGATTAATCCCAACTCATTAATAGTAGGGGACTTCAATACTGTCTCCATTAGATAGGTCAACAGGGCAGAGAGTTCCTTAACTGGGGAAACCATGATGGAGGGGTTAGACAATGCAAGAGATAAATAATGCCTAGCTAAGTTTTAAAAACCAGAGGGAACCATATTAGTCCAACAACATACTGACAAATTATACATACCAGATCAAGAAATATATGGCTAGGCAAGGTTTATCTGAGAACAATGAGTCTTTGCCCAAGATCTGTCTACATGGCATACAGTAATTAAAAGTACCAGACTGGTGGAACTAACCTTCTTGGATGTTTAACAGACATACTTTGAGGCCTATACTAATTTGGTCAGAGGGACATAAAGGACAGTTTTTGTTCCTTGCCCTTCTATTTCAAATAGTTACAGGGGACTGTGAGCAGCTCTCAAAATGTCCTATAATTGTTGTGGGTCACCTGATCTCTTGATCAAGACAGCCAAGGAGACTCCACCAGATGGACTTGAACCAGTGTCCAGCCTACAAAGAGGAGGGTCAACACAGAGGAATCATTTCCTCCATGCTTGCAAGCGAAGCCAGACATGGTCGAGCAGGACGTTTGACATCTTCACATAGGCGGAACTGGTAAAAGAAAGAAGCCAGGGGCTCCTCCCAAGCCCATGTGACCCCTGAGGAACAGATCCTCAAATGACCTTAAGAGTAAAAATAAATTTGTTTATCTGGGCCAACTGTATGGCCTTAAACACCCAAAAGGAAAGTATAACCAAAGATTAAAGGGGCCAATATAATTT